CAACTTTTTGGTTAGTAGTCAAAAGCAAACTGCGCCACCCAGAGATCTTTTAGTTTATTCTTAGGCAATCTGAATGTTCATAGATTTGAAAGCAAACCACAGATACAGAAACACAGAGCCTAGTGGAAGAAAGAATCACCTCTTGGCTTATGATTGCTGGGGTTAGAACACTTTTGGGTTATTACTTAACTATAATTGATGCTACCATCTCAGAATCCTACCCACTCCCAGGGTCAAAGATAACTGCTATACAGGAAAGATAGTCTCTGTTAACTCCCTTCCTTTGTTATTTTATAAGCTCTGAACATACATCTGGCAAGAAGGAGTTGTGGTGTTAAAAAGAAAAATTTTTGGCTCGTTGCTTTTAACATATTTAGCTTGAAGTCTGATAAGGACATTTGGATCTTTTCCAACCACCAATCTTTCCACTTCAAAAAAAAAGTCATCTGAGATAGCCATCTATCATGAGTGAAATGTAATTCAGCTTATTCCAGAAGGATGAAAGGTGATTCGTTTCTGCCGGGTTTGAAGCTACCATTCTCAGAAGTCTAGGTATTTCAGACTATATTAAGAGTACAAAATTTTTAAAATAGACAGACTTTTTTTCACAAATCAAAAATTCCATGCCCACATTTGATGCTTTATTATTTCTTAAAATGGATTTTAATCACAACAGATCTCAGCATCAATGGATGGTTAAGAAAGAGTCTGCAGAAGCAAGATAGGCGAACGGCACCAACCTAGAGCACCATTTAAATTTTACAGTGTGTTTCACCTTCTACCCAAAAAGGCTTAAGTGGTTTAGTTGGTTAAGAGTATTACCAAGAGATGACTAATACCAGTTTTAATCTTCTTAGTGACCTGTTTACTTTGCTTAACTCTATTCCAGAGCTCAACTGACCTCTCTCGAACTTATGTTTCTAAATACAAGTAGGATCAGGTGACAAGGCATAAGCAAAACCATCACCAATGACAGGAAGAAACAACAGGAACTGCTACCAATGAAAAAGGAGCATTTTCACAAACAGAGAACTAACAGGCATTTCATTTGGTCTTTCCATTCACTTTCTATTTGTGTGGCAAGTGCTGGAATCACACAAAGGAACAAGATACAGTCTTCACCCAGAGGGAACTCGTATAAAAAGAACAACAGCAAACACAGTGCAAGCTCTGTAATTGATGTAAGCACAGAGAGGCACCAAACTCAGCTTGGGATGGCAGTATGGAGGGTGGGCAGGGAAAGCTTTCCAGAAGAGGTGGCACAAGCTGAAAGATGGAATGAATGTTATTTTTAACAATTCCCACACACAGTGATCTGATAGAATAAATATGTAATGAAAATTAAAGGACCAATATGAGTAATAATGAATAATAATATGTTACTATTGAGTTAAGGAAAAAACGGAAGGACTGAGCAATACGCATTTGGGAATCTTTAATGTACGTAGTTGACGGCACCTAACAACAACAACAATGTATGCAGTAATAAGAGCATGCTAACTCTGCTTGTTCATTTCTATCGTCAAAGAAAAACAACAGATCCCTGACCCTATATTATGACTAAGTTAGATTAAGAATAGGTTTAGAATTTTCCTCTGTAAGACATAAAAGGAGATGTGTTGTTCAATTGAATAATGCCAATTCTACAAGTTTGAAAGCATGATTTATAAAGGGAAAACAGGGTGATAAGAAAGCTCTTCTTAGGAAACACCACAATTCTTTTTTTTATCATGCAACATCAGTGAAGTCACATAATCTATAAAAGATAATCATTTTTAAAGTGAGCGTGTTATAACATCGAATGTTCCTTCTAAGAGTCTGTTCAGTAGGTAGGTTGGAACGGTGAAACAAAGCTTTGTACAACACTGAGACGCTATCGCCATCTTGTGCTTCACGGTCTTCACTACACCCACAGGCCAAAGAAACCAAACAGACCCATTGCCCTCCAGTAGATTCCAACTCATTGCGACCGACCGGAGATAATAGTTTCCAAGGCTGCAATCTTTACAGAAGCACACTGCCATGTCTTTCTCCTGCAAGCGGCTGGTGGGTTCGAACGGTGGACCTTTTGGTTAGCAGCTGAGCACTTAACCACTACTATGTCACCGGGGCTTGTTAAGAAGCCAATGAGAGCTGATTAACTACTGCAAAAGATCACACTTAAGATTCTCAACAATTACAGAATATAGCTTTATTTATAGAATCTTACAAATAAAACATTTTATAGCCCACATAAGTTATTTTCTTTCTAATTTCTTCTCATGACACCTGAGTTATTTTAAAAAATACTGTGATGAAATTGCAGAACTGTAAAGGGAAGTATGAACAATAAAGACCTAACCTCTATTTTTGCAAAAATCAAAGACAACTTTTTTTTTTTTTTTTAAAGCAGATTTCCAGCATATTATCATCTCTCTGAAAGAGGACTTACTAAAAAATAGACTTCAGGATACCCAAACAGAGTAGCCTTTTTTAACCCAGGATGAAGGACTAACGATGGGTTGACACTAGGCACGAAATACCTTTGGGGACAAGGACAGAAGGCAACCTGCATCCCAGGGTGACAGTGACAAGTAGCAGAACCCCTCTCCCTGGGTTAGGGCTCCTATGTATGACTTTTCTTACTAAAATTAATAGGAGCTGGTCCAGCCAGAGAAGAGAGATGGAAGATCTTAATGTCAGGGGTGAAAAATTCCTCAAAATAACCTGCTACTCCTTAGACCTCTAATATGTACAAATGCTTAAAACAGCAAATCCAACACTTAAAAGTCAAAAAGAAATTGCCACACCTTCAATTCATGAGGCAAATCGGTTGCCAATGGCAACATATAATTAGTCGGACTATCTGAGTGTCTCCACCCCTCCTAAGCCTCAACTATCACTAGCCTCTGCACCAATGACAGCTGAAAGGATTCCCTTCAAGGCAGCTGTCTATGAAAAGCTCTGAAGTTGATACAAGTATGCAAGAAAAGGGAAAGCATCCTACTATTTTATATTTTATTTTTTAATTTGTTAAAGATTATTATTTTTTTACCTCCTCTCCTCAACTAGAAAGCCACTAACTCGAACTTAGTACTCTACTCCAAGACAAATGTTATTTTTAAGGAATGACAGGATCTATAGGGAATGCTAAAATGTTCAATTTAATACATCAATGTGAGTTAAGTAAAGCAACATTTTCTAAAGTCTGAGTTTTCAGTGTCATTTTCTACTAGCTCCTGAAAGTATTTTGAGAAAAATAAAACAGAAAAGACAAAAAGAATTGTTCTGAAACATTAACAATAATGATAATATAAAAAATTAGATTCCATCATTCAAGGAATTGGTTCTTTGGTAAAACTGGATCATAATCCTATCAGGAGTCAATCCTGACATTTCATCTTGAATCTTGTTAACTAAAGTCTTCCTCCTTCAGCTCACTGTCAAATCCATCAGTCAACAGCAAGATAAGGAGAAAAAACTTCTGCAGTATTGCCAGCAGTTTTCCTTCTCATGTTCTTTTCAAGAATATTCCTGGCTTGAGGGAAGTTCCCCAAGAAGAAAACCAAAATAGATGCTTTTAATTACTGTATAGTGGAAAGTTTTTCTGTGTAAGGACAGAAAAACTCGCAGATGTTGGCAATGACCCAGTACTCGTCAGTCATGCATGCAGTTTGCTAACACAGCCCCTGGGCTGCAACTGTGGGTACCACTAAGAAAGGCTTCTGGAGAGATTGGTTCCCCAAAGTGGCTAAAGAATCTCACATTATCAATATGATAATAATAAATCAATTCACCCAGTGAACCTGGAGATTAGCTCCCCCTGAAGCCAGAGTTCCTGAGGAGAAAGCTCCACAGTGCCTGAGGCTAGCCAACAGTTTCACAGACAAGTATTGCCATCCGTTTTCTGAAGAGGGTAGAACAATTAAGATTCATTTTGAAGTAGGACTCAACCTTTTTTGGTTTGGCGGTAAGGGAGGAAGCAGTAACCTAGACAATGCCATTGAAAACCCATTTGCTATGCAATCACTAAGTCTGCTCTGCAGACATCTGCAGTGCCCCAACCCAAGTTTCTGACCTTTTATCTCAAGAGTTCCCTACAACTGACCCTTTTATTTCTGTCATTAGAAAATTCTAAATCTTGCCTGCACTGATTCCATTTCTGATTTCCTTGTCTGAGTAGAGCACAAACCGCACTCTAATCCTCAAAGTCAACTTGGTGCTCTGCAGCAGTCTTAACCAGGGGAAGTAGATCTGTGCAGTCTCCCCTCTAATACAAGCATCTTAAATGTGCTCAGAATGTGCTTCTAGGGAGGCAGCTAAAAAGTGTCTCAGAGGATGAGAGTGGAGAAGGGAAGCAGAAATCATAGCAAAGCCAATGGATTTCTTGCAGACCTCCGTCTCTCCATTCTGGTCATGTTAATCTGAGAAGAGAAGGTCCAGGCAACTGAACTTATATGCCAGCTCACCTGAACAGTCATGATACATCAGGGACGCTGCCACAAAACCAATATCCAGCATCCCAGAGGGATACATGACCATCACTACAGGATACACCCGGCCAGTTCTACTTCCCTTCTTATTCAGGATTATTGGTGCCCCTCCTCTTGCCTTACTCATATTTTCTCAGGTTCAGTTGTCTTCGAGAGAAGCAATAGGCAACTGAACAGATACTGAAAAAATGGGAGCGACCCCTGTCTCCTGTACCTTCTCTGTAAAAATAGGGACACCCATTTCATAACGGGCCATCTTGAGGTCCAGGATGGGTATTTAGATTCATGGGCCCCAAACTATGATTCAGCTCCTGATATTTCTAACCCAGTTATGACAGCTAACTATATTTTTGCACGTATGGTAAAGGATTCAAAATCTCTCAGTGCTGGTTCAAAGAGAAAGAGGTCAGGGTAACCAGAGAAAAAAGTGACGCTTGTCTTCTAAGCTGCATTCAAGTTCCAGAGTTACTCTGGGAAAAGAAGGAGAGGAAAGGGTGAGAGGCACTACCTAGAGACTGGTTACCAGGGTAGCTTATTCCTAGGACCAAGCATTTTAAAAACGGCTGACATCTGAATGCAGGAATACAGTCTGTGTCGCAGTTTTTAATAAAACTGCCTCTTCGGTGGTCCTTCATGGATGCGGAGTCCTCAGGCCAGGGATCAGGCAGCCAAGGGTCCCACCTGCAAGCCCACTGGCTCCTGGCAAGGCTTTACCCAATCTGGATCTGCCCTGAATACATGGTGAGGACCAGCATGATGGTGAATCCAGTCAAGAGGCCCAGGTTCTGGATGACAAAGGAGATCAAGACACTGCCCTTCCTCTCATCCTCTTGGCTGACCTCATTCATCTCAGGGAACTGAGAAAGAAGAGAAAAACAGAGCTATAATGCTTTTCTTATCTTTTAAGGCTAGGACAAATTCAGTGATTGATATATATAAGTAAAACTGGTTTACAAAGAAAATTAATAGCAATAGCAGTTAGATCTTTCCTCAGGGTGGTTACCGCCACTTTACTACAATCTAAGTAATGCTACACATCTGTGCGGCCCTGGATGTGTTTAGATACTGGCTAAAAATTAATGTGCTGTGTTTTATTGTGGACTTTAAAAACACTTGCAAAACTGTTTTGCTACCAAAACGTTCTTGTCATCTCTTTGGGAAATTAAGCAAGTATGTAAGGGATGAGAGAATGAAGCTACAACATGGCTGTGATTCAAGGCCTCCTGTTTCTGGGAACAGCGAGCCAGGCCAGGGAGGCAGGTGACAACTATGAGACATTCCTATTCAAGTAATGCACAATGTATCCTAACCACAGGCAGGGCTCCTCACAGGAGGAGAAAATCTAAAATGTATCCATGGGGTGAGGTTGGATCACTGACAGTCAACACTCTCATCAAAGATACTATTTTCAAAGGACGTAAAAACAATAATTCATGCAAACATGCCACAAAAGATGTCATGCCAACAAACAAGGTAAAGAAATCAACCTCATGAGTTACATAAGAAACGCAACAGGTCTGGTATTTACACTAGCATTGTCAAAACTACCGCAATGGATATACCAAATGTTAGCAGGTACAGTAAAATGTGCACTTCCATATACTGCTCATAATGTAAAAAGCAGTATCGTCTCTGAAAAAGGTTAAAATGTAAAAAGGTTAAGCTCTTTTAGAAAGCAATTTGGCAACACATATTAAAAGCCTAAAACCATGCATTCCTTTTGAGTCAGCAATTCTATTTCTGGGATTAAGGTATATCCTCTCACCAAATAATACCACCATTGGAAAGGATGTTTTCAAAGACTATGCAACATGGAAAAACATTTATGATATATTAGGTTAAAAAAAAAAACAAAAGAAATGAGGATATAAAATCAAACATACAATGTAATTATAGTTATTTAAAAACTGATACAATGGATTGAAACAAAAAAGAAACAAGGCAAAGTATCAATCATTACTGTTGTTTTAGAGAATGATCCTGGGTAATTTTCTTTCCTTCCTTCCCTCTACCCTCCTTCCTTCTTTTTATCTATCTATCTATCTATCTATACCTGTTCAATAATATTTAAGTTAAGAACCCTGGAGTTTCATTTCATCGTCTTCTTTAATGGTATGTACTAATAGGAATAGAGACTTTCCGCCTTTAAAACCTAACATACAAAAAAATTAATGTCCCCCTAAAACCACTGAATTGTATACTTTAAACAAGTGAACTGTATAGTATGTGAATGACATCTCAATAAAGCTGTTATTAAAAACAAAAAAATCTAATGTCTCTTTAGCGGTCTCCTATCCAACGAATTATCTGGCCCAGTTTTGCCCACATGGCATGAGCTATGAAAGACTTACCATATCAGCCAGAGAAATATACAAGAACATTCCTCCAGCCAGTGCAAAGATCCAATTGGCAGAGAAGTGGCTGCCGGCCAGGATCCCAAATGCCAGGCCCACGTAACAGCAGCAGGCAGAAAGGAAGTTAAAGAAGAGAGCTTGCTGGATACTCATCCCAGCATTGAGCAGGATTACAAAGTCTCCTACAGTGGGAAAACAAGAAGGAGAGGGATGTTGAAGGAAGTCATACAAGGTCTTGGGAGGCAGAGAAAATTGAAGACTAACTGCACAAACTATGGATAAAGTCTGGGTTAAAGTCTGGGCTAAAAATCAAGACAGCCACAGATCTGAGATTGAAGTGACAAGACTAAGTCCCCTTCATCTTAAATTCAGGAGGTGTCTCCATGGGGGACACTGTCCATGTACTTCCAGCCTAGAGGCTGAAAATAATTCATCGGATTTTTAAAATAGATAAGCACCTAGCAATGGCCTCATTTCTCTTTTGATGGATGGTGAAATAGAAGGTGCTCTTTTCCTCACAACTACAATGAATAGTTCTTTTTAGTAACAAAATCAAGACAGAAAGAAGTTAGGTAATTTGTCCAAAGTCATAAGCCAATAAATAGCAAAGCCAAGATTTGACCTTGAGTAAAAAGTCCATACTTTCATACTCTATTGCTGATGAAATAAGTACCAGACTTCCTAACCCCTGGCCCATCCACTTCATCCACCCTCAAACTTCTAACATACATCTCAGCCTTTGGAAGATGAACATGACATAGGAGATAGCCTTTATGGAGCACTGAGAATAGTGTGTGGCACATTGTAAGTCCTTTTCACTATTTATTTTTATTAAATTCTCATAATGATTCTATGAGGTAGGTGCTATTATTAACTCCATTTTATAGGTGAGGAAACTGAGCCACAGGATATGGGGCTAGAAGAAAACAAACATTGCTGTAAAAAACTCTATCACTTTAAACTATCATTTATTTGACTGTTAAGAAATAATGGTTTGATATCACATAGTTTTTACCAGTTGCCATTGAGTTAATTCTGACTCATGGCGACCTCAGGTGTGTCAGAGTAGAACTGTGCTCCATAAGGTTTTCAATGGCTGATTTTTTGGAAGTAGATCGCCAGGCCTTTCTTCCAAGGCATCTCTGGGTGGACTCAAACCTCTAACCTTTCAGTTAGCAGTAGAGCATGTTAACTGTTTCTATCACCCATGGACTCCATCACACAGCTTAGGTGGCTGTGTTAATTAATTACAACAGGCATTTTGAAGGAGATTAGCAAGGAATACTCTGTATGAAGGATGCCTGCACCAAAACCAAGGTAACAAAAGTAGACTGGGGGATGCATGCTTACCTAGCTCATGTGGAAACTCCTCACAGAGGATGGCCACTGAAGTACTGATGCCTTGGAAAACAGACACGGTGAAGGAGGCACCAATGGCCAGGCCATCGATGAAATTGTGGAGGCCATCGCTCAGGGTGATCATCCAGGCCAGAGTACCGATATCAGAGTAGCGGACACCTTTTAGCCAGTAACATGCGCTTTGGGAAGCCTGTACGTCCTATAAGAAAGCCCATCCCATGTCAAAGGGTGGACTATGTACCTTCAAGGTAGGCCCGAGTCATCAAGGCCATTACCACTTCAAGGCTCCCACCAAGCAGCTGATGGCCCACTGACCTGGACAGAGAGTGAGCCCACAATGACCTTCTCGTCCATCACGGGAGTTGTGCCATCCAGCTCGCTATTCTGGTGTTGAGGAATCATGTGGTCCAGATCCCCATTCTGCAGCTTCTCCGTCACACCCTCCTCCTGGTCCTTCTTGGAAGGAAGTGTCTCAGAGGTATAATGGCTATGTCCGTGATGATGCTGGAGGGACAACGGGATAGGGGTGTTGTCAGCATTCACTCACAAAACCATAAACCTTACTGAGCACCTACTCTTACTCATTCCTACCAAAGAAAATACAAATCAGTAACACACAGAAACACAGTTGTATTATAAACCTGTACCAAGTGTGACTGTAAGGACTTGGTGTTAAATACATATCAAAGTAGTCATCTTAAAAGGGTAAACACTTAAAGGGGTAAATTCCAGCAAAATATTCGCTACTCAAAATATTTAGAGTTCCTCCTTAGTAATGGCTAATTTCAATCAAGTCATTAAATGTTTAGTGAATAACTACATACCAGACACTAAAGATATATTTTGGGGACTGTACTATAATAATTGGAGGCAGTGGTGGTTCAATGGTAGGATTCTCGCCTTCCACGTGGGAGACCTGGGTTCAATTCCCGGCCAGTGTACCTCATGCACAGTCACCACCCATCTATCAGTGGAGGCTTGCATGTTGCTATGATGCTGAACAGGTTTCAGTAGAGCTTCCAGACTGAGATGCGTTAGGAAGCCTGCTGATCTACTTCCGAAAATCAGCCAACGAAAACACTATGGATCCCAACGGTCTGATCCACAACTGATCATGAGGATGGTGCACGACTGGGCAGCATTTAGTTGCCATGAGTCAGGTGCTGACTCGACGGCAGCTAGTAACACAGCTACAACAATCAGTCTCATTTCTCTGCGGTCATACTCCATCACATATATGACAGATGTGCTTATCAAGACCCTCTCTCATCTTCTAAAGGTATAAACATAATACAGTCTAGAAAAATACAAAGGGGATAAACTGCTGTTTAGTAAACAGCACACTGGCCAGATCTCATCTCTGGTCTGGCCTCACTCCCTGCTAATATATTGTGAGGTGAAATGGGATTATCTACTCATGAAATTCACGGGTTTTAGTCCATAGTGGGAGGATACCATGTAAGCTCACTGTAAGAGTGTGGAGGTAACACCACTACGAACACAAACATTTAGAGATAGGTGTTTTCCCTAGAAGAATTTCCTTGACCAACAATTATGTCTCACCTCATTTTTCTGTTTAAGAAGCATCTTCAAGACCTTCTCTGTGAAAAAGAAAAGATAAAAGCCCCCAAATACCACCGCAGACTTCGAGACATAATAATCTTCCAGAGGGTTGAAACCAAAAGCCTGTGGACCCAGGAAAACAGAATGAGTTTAAGACAATAAAAATTGTCACCGATTCCCTCATCTCTTAACTGCTTCCTTGACTCTAGGAAAGAGACATCCTGCACAAACTCTTCCATCCACCCATTCTCTTTTCAACAAAACCTAATCCTTGTTTCCCTAATATGACGTCATCAGACCTGTTAGATTCTCTCTTGCTCATTTTCTGATACAAAAGACAGACGGTCTTTAGCATTTTAATCTCAGGAAGAACAGCTGTGTGTATTATTTTCTACTTTTAATAAGGATGCCGTCTTAATTTTTCTTGGTGCTTTGCTACAAGGGCATACTTCGTGAGTAAATTCCATTATTTAAGGAGAAGGTCTGTTTGTTTTCAGCTTATCTAGTGTCCCTGGCTGATCTGCCTGCAAACACAAGAAAGATGGTATAATTATACTTTCTAAAATGGGAAATCCATCCCTCAGTTAAATAGTAAGAATTACAGTATCTTCCTGACCATCGACCTTCCAGTGACCACAAAGCCAAGAAAGCAGACTATATTACTGCATGTGTCTTTTTTTGTTTGCTTTTGTTTTGGGGTTCTTGTATGGATGTGTGTGTGAAAACTTACAAAGAGGGGGAAAAAAAAAATCCATGGAAAGAGAACAAGAGTAGAAATCAGGCGAATTCCATTCTATATTAAGTTCCTGAGTTATAGTAGGAGCTCAGGAAAGTGTCAAATGACCTGCACCTCAGTTTTCTGACAGGCAAAGGAACTTGAAAAAATTCCAGCCTTCTCATGAATAGGTCAAAGATAAAACTGATCATAAGTACTAGGCTGTTTAAAAAGTGTTTTTCCTTTCTGTTTTAAAGGGACAAAATACAATTACTACCCTTACTATAATTTTCTGGAAAATTATAGTTATAATGGACTCAGCTGCTAACCGAAAGGTTGGAAGTTTGAGCCCATCCAGAGGTGCTTTGGAAGAAAGGCCTGGTGATCTATTTCCAAAAAATCAGCCATTGAAAACCCTATGGAGCACAGTTCTACTCTGACACACATGGGGTCACCAGGAGTTGGAATCGACATGACATCCACTGGTGGTTACTGTAGTTTTCTAAGAGACGTAAGAGCCAAGTTCTAGAGTAGAAACACAACACACAGGCCAATTTTCCAGGACAGTCAAATCACCTTTGGGAAAAATGAAGTGAAAACAGGCAACTAACACCTCTTTACAAAACGCCATGAAGGACGGCAGCGTATAAAAGCATGGCTTTAGAAATTATAAAACTGGGATTCTAGGCTTAGTGAATCTCGTGCAGGTCAGATTCCTTATCTTTTAAATGGGTAAAAAATTACTTGTTCTATAGCTATCAGAGTTGATCAACTAAGGAGACTCACAATAGCATTCTGGAAAACATAAAGTGCTATGTAAGAAGCATGTGGTGCCATCTTCTTGCTTCAATTACTGCTATGTCCAGGTCTGTCAGACCACCTACAATGACCAAACCTGTTGCCGTTGAGTTGATTCCGACACATAGCAACCCTAGGCAACATCATCATGAGGCCAGTCCTATTATTTTCCCCATTTTACATATGAGGAAACAGAAGTGCAGAGAGGTTAAGTGACTTGCCCAAGGTCATAGCATCTGCACACGGTGGAGCTGGGATTTGAACCCAGGCCGTCTGATGTATACAGTCCATGGTCTTCAGGGTACACTATGCTGCCTCTCCTAGCTCATGCCTAGAAGTCCTCACTTCACTTTCCAAAATGGAAGGAAAGTGAGGTCTCCTCTCTATGTCTTCCATCTAAATAGAGGGTCCTCCCACTGTCCCCCCAGGAGGCAGGCTGTGCTCCTGTGTGATGAAGCCCTGGCTTGTCATACCTCGGGGATGAGCTGGAAGAGGGCGTTGGAGTACAGGGTTCCAATCGCCAGAGCTATGAAGTAGAGCAGCAGCCTCTTGTAAAAAGTCTTCTTCATGAAGGGCACCACGCTGGCCCCCATGAGGGAGCAGAGGGAGATGATGGTCACACAGAGGAGACCGTATCCCCACACTGCCATGGTTGGGGAGGGCCAGCCCCACCCAGGACAGGGAGAACGGTGGACGCCCCATTGCACGGTAACCACCATTTAGGGAGGGGAAGGTGGACAGGATGGGGAGTAACAAGGAAAGTGTTGGTGGATATTAACAAAGGAAACAAAAAAGAAAAATCAGAGAGAGACAAATAGGGAGGGAGAGAGAAATAGAAAATTTGTTAGTGATTCAAGTCTGATGTAATTTTCTTTAATCAGTTCAGAAGTGAGGAGGAATTCAAGGTGATCTTGGAACCCTGTGACTTCCGCCCCTGTGGCCTTTGGTGGTTCCAGTCACACCTGCCAGCTGGGAAGTGAGTGCTGCCAGGGTGGGTGCTGCCTCTGGCACACGCCCACGGTGTGCTCAGGACTATTACAGAGGATGCCCATGACAGACTTTGGACTGGAGGGCTCTCGTCAATAGGAAACAAGAGAAGTGGAAAGAGACCGATCGTTAGGCTGTGTTTGTTTTGTACATTCAATCTGTACTGCGAACGCATGTGTGACACTACCCAGATTTGGTTTCGCTTGTGCAAAACACAACAAAGTCAGATGTGCAGGGCAGAAGTGTGGAAGATAAGTACGAGTCAACTCCCACAAAATTCAGTTTCTTAACTTCTCAGTGTTTTTTGTTTCCACTTAGTTTGAGAGGGACTCAAGCATAGAGAACAGAGTTCCATGATCACCAAGTCACAAAAGTATTTCCGCTGGCACTTCCCAGTGTCACATACTCCTGGCTTTGAGTCCAGGTCCAGACAGGGAAGGACAGATTTGGGCTGAGATGAGACATTCCCCTGTGAACCACAGCGGTGGAGTATGTACAACGATTTAATTTCTATTCAAACAGGCAATGAGGCATTTCACTTCAAGTCTTTAACAAATTAATAAATTACATTTCTGGAGCTGAAAAAATAGCCCAAGACGAGGCATCCCCTGAGAAGTGCTTATCTGACTCCTGGGGGATTTTGAGAAAGCATCAAGGTGGCAAATCTTAAATCAGATTTCTTCTTTCATTATGAAGGAGGAACAGGGAAGGCACAGGAGGCCCCCTGGTACCTTTTCTGGGTTTGAATCTTCTGATTAGGACAGGCTGGAAAGCCGCTGGCATGGACTCTTTATGAAATGTGGCCCCCACTGTTCTCAAAGGGGTTGAAGATGTGTCCCTGCCTAAGCTGAAAAGGTAGGCTGTCAGCTTGGGTCTTATTTTTACATCTCCTCAGTAACAACAATTAGAAAACAAAATTAACAAACATTTCCAAACAGTCAAGTAAGGGTACCAGGAAGTCAGTCCTTTCAGGACAAAGTCAAGATGCAAGGTATGAAGGATTGAGTGTCCCTTTCATTTATTTCATATTTTTTAATTTATTTGGTTGTATTTTTACATAGCCTTAGTTCTATGTGTGGCCCTCTCTGCTATAAATTAAGAACTGCTTAAAAAAGGGATTACTTAATTTTAGGATTACTTCATTTCTACTCATCAGCTGGTAACCTGCTCCCAGATGAACAATCTCTTGGTGGCTGCACTTGACCACTACTGGGGTTTCTAGTTAGAATAGAGGGGTTGTGTAAGTACCAAGTGCACGGAGAGCATCCATGAGCTACAGCTTTCCTTCTGAGCCCTAAGAACGGGGCTTAGAAAAGGCACTGAGGTAGGGAGGTCCCTAACAGGGAGAGCAAATGCTAAGAGCCTTGCATCTGACACTACCTGAAAGAAGCCAGAGGCAAACCTGAGTACCCCAAGGAGTGAGAGAAGGCCCTTGAGATCCAAAGGTAGAAGTCAATTGCGTCTCTTGATGTGAGGAATCAATTAATTTCTCAGGTGTCAGGTGGGTGCCTTAGAACACAGGTTGTAGCGAAACGTCAGCCAAAGGAAAGCTCAGCTGCGACGCCCAAGGGAAAGAGGACGCGTAAGAGAGGGGTTTTCGTGTTTCTGTTCTACTGCACCTCTGGAATCAGCTGGAAGAGCGCGTTAGAGAACAGCGTTCCAATGGACAGGGCGATGAAGTAAGTGAGCACACGGCTGAAAAACGGTTTCTCAGTGCAGGGCAGGACGAGAACTCCCAGGAGAGAGGCCAGGTTAATCAGTGACACACTGAGGAAACCAAAGCCCCACACTGTGGAGGAACAAGAACAGACGAGGGCCTCTATTACTGAGGGTGGGTGGGAACATCCCTGCTCTCTGGGCATGCCCGTTCCAGATCAGGTGTGGTGAGGGTGGGCGGAGATCAACCAACCCATCAGCAAATACTTATTGAGTCCATCTTCTGCTAGGTGCTATGGACAAGTCTAAGAAAAATATATCAAAGCTGCTATTCAAAAGAAGCTTACCTTTTGGCTGCAGGCAGATGAGAATGTGAAAGGTTAAATACCATATGCATTAAATAATGGCAGGAGAAAAGAATATGACATATAACCCAAGGCATTATATGCTAGTAACATACACCAGTCCCAGAGGATTTCAGAAGGGCAATCTCATACACTCACAAACCACAGTTAGTCCTGTGTGGCTGGAGCAGAGCTATAAGGAGAAAGAAGTGGGCCAAGGGCAGACTCTGCAGGGCCTTAAATGTTAAACTGAAAAAAAACCCCAGGCATTGGCTGCTCGGTGGTTTAATGAAAACCAAAAAGAAAAATGGACCAAAAACAGCATCCAAAAGGCTGGTCAAAAAGTCCCACACTCTGAACATTCACCAGCCATGCCGCCCACGAGTCTGACCGTGTGCTAGACCAGGTCTGTGAGTGCAGAAAACAAGAAAAGTACAGTCATTAATTCTTCCCTCCTGATATGGACAACCTGGTCCTGGGCTAAACATTCAGGGAGGCTCACAATCAGGAGATGGGCCCCAGCAATCAGTATGAGGCCAGGCAGGAAGATCAGGACCCTCCTTCCTCTTGCAGCTTACCTTCAATGTTGCTTGGCTTCCCCTCTTCTGTCTGCTCATTCTCCTCATTTTCCTGGTTCTCGGAGGTGCAGGCCCGGGAATTCAGCTGCTGGAGAATGGTGGGGCAGAACTCTTGGAACTTGCTCCTCCCAATCCATGACTGGTCGCTGAGATTGTGGGCAGCAAAGAGGTCTCTAGAACTGAAGCACTGAAACAAAGTGGGGAGGGGTGGGAGGGAGGAAAAAGCTTCTTAGAACCCAAAAGTCATACCTTGCCCCTCAGCAGCAACCTATTCAGCCTTCTAAGAGAAAAAGGAGAAGATAGACAAATTTCAGGGACTCTGTGGGGTAATCTCCAGGGATGATAGCAAGGTAGTCCCTAAACTTGGAAAAACTGATAAGCAATGTTAGAGATCAGCATACCCATCTGTAAACGGTTGCCTGGGAAGTTTGGGGAACGATTAAATTCCAACCATTGTGACCACGAGTGTGGATTCTAGAAAGCTTCATCCAGATACCAAATCTGGCTGCCCATCACAATAGTCCAGGGAGCTATTATATTAAAATGCAGATTCCAGACACTTTCCCAGAGTTATTGGGTACTGGTATCTATAGGCGTGGGGCTCCCTGGAAACTGTGGTACCGCCCAATCAAACCAACACATGGAGAATAGGTTGAGAGAGGTTAACTTGAGTTGATTCTGACGCATGGCGACCCCATGTGTTACACAGTAGATCTGTGCTCCACAAGGTTTTCTTGGTTGTAACCTTTGTGGAAGCCAGGATTTCCTTCCGCGGTGCTGCTGGGTGGGAACGAACCACCAACCTTTAGGAGTCGAGTGCAAACCGTTTGTGCCACCCAGGGACCTTGATAGAGAATAGGGAAGGAAAATCTAAAGATTCAAACTCTGCCAAGGGGCAAGTGTGGGCAGGCCAGTGCACAGGAGCACTCCAGTCCCCCTGAGGGGCAGCAGGTGAGTGGTTCTCATTCTTATGAAATGCTACAGTGTTACTATCTCTCAGCTTCACCCCTCTGGGTGTGCTGACAAAATAAGAGTTTCTGGGCCTATAAAGCTGAGGGCTGGGCTCTGGTGACCCCAAGACACTGCTGCTGCCCTGGGGGGTTCTGAGACCTACCCTGCAAGTATCTGGAGTCAGGCTGCACTGCCCTCCAGGGGCACACTCTCAGTACTATTCCAGCTCACACTTCTTTCCCTCTCTCATTTCTAAATCCTAGTTACTGTCTAACCTTCAAAATTTAACACTTCATTTTAGTATCAGCTATCTTTGTTCTCTGTTGGTTGGTCTCTCCACCTTAACAGTAAACTCCTTAGATATGACTCATTTTTCTCTATTTCTCACAACACTCAGCAGCACAGAGAACAAAGTAGATATATAAAGACTTGGCTGGTTGACTTATATTTGGCTGCCACAAATAGCCTCACACTCTGAATAGCTAAGAAGATATGGAAGAAAGAACACAGAACCAGGAGCCAAAAGACCTGAGCTCTAGTTTTGGTCCTGCCAGTAACTCACTATGTATGGGACCCTCAGTATCCTCCCCTATAAAATAAAGATCATCCCACCTGCATCCGGAGGTACTATGAGGTGCACGTGGGATAGTGTTCAAAGTGCTTTGTAAACTGTAAAATCTATTAGAAATGTTAACTGTCCTGGGAGCTGCAGCTTTCCAGAGGTTCTAGGTGATCCAAGTGCAGTTCTGAGGAAGAGTCTGGAGGGCTGAGAACTCCCACTTCACTACTGTCCTTTGCTGATTCAGACAAAGGGTGAAAAAGAATGGGCCTATCTGCTGTGATATCAAGATCTGTCTGCCTCAAGCTTACCCCAGAAGGGCCCTGGTGGTACAACAGTTACGAACTCAGCTGTTGACTGAAAGGTTGGAGGTTTGTACCCACCCAGTGGCTCCACAGGAGAAAAGACCTACTCCTGTAAAGATTACAGCCAAGAAAACCCTATGGGGCAGTTCTATTCTGCCACATGGGGTTCCTGAGAGTCAAAGATCAACAAGAAGCTTATCCCAAACTGCTCAACTACCCCTCGCCCCACTAGACTGTGAGCTCTGAGAGGGCAGGGGCAGTGCTGTGCAGACCTGCTGGCCAAGATGTGGTCCTTACCCTTGAGATGTTCCTCTGCTCCTGCTCGGGCTGGGTGACATTATCCCGGCCCAATCCCACATTCAGGTGGTTGAGTAGGGCCTTCAGCTGCTGCAGAGTGAGGCTGTCCCCCTCACCGTATTGATGCATGAGGTCCTGCAGGAAGGAGACAGCACTGATGGCTGGCGTCCCTGCAGACAAAGCATGCGCTTCAGGGGCAGTTTTCCATAAGCCAAGCAGGGTCAGCAGGAAGCAGCCGTGGAAGGGTAGGTTCAGCAGCTTCATGGTGACTAAATAGGCCTGCAAGAGAAACAAGCCAGGTGGAGGTGAGGCTTTAAGTGAATCATAATATATCAATTTCATGGAATATCATGCAACTATAAAAAATGAGAATCATAATATTAAGTAAATAAACCAGAACAATTATATAACAGAGTTAAGAACCAAAAAGGAGGGGAGAGGTGGTGAGGGAAAAACATTAACTAGACAACAGATGTGGTAACTTGGTGAAGGGAAGACAGTATATAATACTGGGGAAGTCAACACAACTTGACCAAGGCAAGGTCATGGAAGCTTCATAGACACATCCAAACTCCCTGAGGGACCAAATTACTGGGCTGAGGGCTGGGGACCATGGTCTCGGGGGACATCTAGCTCAACTGGCATAACATAGTTTATAAAGAAAATGTTCTACATCCTACTTTGGTGAGTAGCGTCTGGAGTCTTAAAAGCTTGTG